TTCAATTGAGGAGCTGGTGGACAAAGTCAAGCAATGCTTTAGATCAATGCAGTACAGGACCGTCACGATGAAGGACCAGTACGAAGCGTTGGAGAATCTTGTAAGGTACTTTCAAATGAAGTTCGAGGAGCAACTAGAAGGCGATGAGCCTTCGCTCTGTTTTGAGAAGATTTCCGCTCACATCCGAACCGCCTCATTTTTCTCACTTCCATTGTATGACGAGAAGATTGACGATATCGAGCGACGACGGCTAGTAAATGGACTTTCAAGTGCGATTGGCGGGTTTATTACTGGTGTTAATCAGATCAGGATTGAGGTGAAAGGGGCTGTGTCAGCTACTCTTTTGACGCTTCCTAAGGACCTTGTTGCAATGAAAGATGTGACCAAGTTTGGTCAGCTGATTTTGCCTTACAAGAAAAGACTGAGAGTCCAATACGAAAGTGGGGTGATCAGCTGCATTTGGAAGCAGGTCCGTAAGTTGCGTGAAACGTACGAGCTCAACCCGGACTTCAAGGCTTATGTCGACAGGTCTTACACCAAAGGTGTAGTCGAAGCATGGCGTATTGTGAACGGTTCTGGTGAGTATTCACGTTTAGTTTCGTTTGCGCTGGGGCTGGCTTCGATTCCACCCGGTACCCATACCGTGGAAGGTGATTTCAGCTCACTTAAAGGTGTCAAAACTGCCCACCGAGGATCGCTGACCAACTATGCACTTGAAGGTCAGTTGCAGGCAAAGCAATACTTCGATCTAATTCCCCTCGCGAACTCCATTGCAGCAGAAACTCTCATCACAAAGTGAACTTCGAAGATTCTAGGCTTTTCATACATTTCACCATCTATCCCATACTATCATCAACATTAAATACCACCCTAGTTCGTATAGTAAATAAGGCACGAAAAATCCTAGTTGAGCATCTGCTAGGTTTTTAGGTAGTACTGCCTAGTTTTGAGAGGCCTGAGTATGTTCAACTCTCGTTTGATGTCACCCTCCATTGCGTCTAAACACGAGCGGACAAATCGACGCCGATATCGAGCGTTAAATGATCAAATTATTCCTTAGTAGAAAAATATGAGTGTTAGTCTTTGGTACTACAGCAGCTAGTTCACCGTACTGTAATTACACAACTTTATATAACCCACCCTGGTCCAAAGGCTGGGCAGACGACGTTAGTATAGAAGAAAGAAAGCGTACCTCGATGTTGGAATATGACCAGGTAATCTTGTGACTCGAGGCATTGTCAATCCGCAACAGAACCTTGCGATTTTGAATAACCATCTTTAAGCTGAAACTTTGTACCCACTCGAAAGATATTCGGGCTGTCATCCATGATTTTCTGCTATTGTATTATTGAACAGCCTTGACTTTTAGCGCACGAGCACTTCCGCCAATAAAACAACGTGGTTTTTTTTGCTGTGCCAATCACGACCGGGTCTAACTTGTGCGTATCTGTTGCATTACAACAGAATGCTACTGTGATACGAGCTTTGTCGCGCTTCTTTCCTCATAGTTGCCAATATCTGGTTGGGAGCTAGACGATAGAAAAGCGCACTCTCATCGAAGTTGTAGATGTCGTCTGGTTTGTAGGTGCAAGTCACTTCCTGCAGTGTGTAGCGCGCCGAGCGCACTTCTAGCCGTCCGCCTCCCCGTTCAGAGGATATGCCATTGCGGGTTGTAAACTTCTGTAGCCACTCACTACTTAGGCGTAGCTGATCATCGCCGATATCAAGACTGGCTTTTATATCTCCAGCTTTAAGCCATAATATGTCGTCTGAGATGATATTGTCCTGCTCACTGCGGTAAAAAAAATCGACGAGTTGACGCTCTAGCTCAGGGAGCTTCACGCGGCGGCGCCGCGTAGCAGTTGCATTTGCGCTGCAGAAACGCGCTGGTTGCTTGTTGCGGATGCGCTGTACGGTGCTGTTACTTACCGACGTTTTGAAGGTTGAACAGATCCACTCGAGCAGCTCGACATTCTTC